TAAAGTGATATTTATATTCAACACATGCGAAAAGCTGAAAATAGACACACGTCACACTGGGAAAAGTCAAAGGTCAATGAAACTGTTATTGTGCCACATGTCACAATTAAGTTAAAATGCGGAAGCGGATGGAGCGGATCCACGGAACGGATATGCGGATAGAATACGGAACGGATGAGGATAAAATGCGTCTTTTTAATGATGTAACGACGTAGTGCTTATTATTCATAACATATCTTATACAGCTATTTCAATTATAGTTTATTAGATAAATTTAGCATAGCAGTAGCCTCGTGGGGATGCTTTCAGTGACAGCTGCAAATGAAAATTTAGAATATGCAAAATTTGGTTGTTGGTGACACAATAAATAGATGAATTGCATCAGTTTCACAAGGCACGTTTCTGATGTGTTAGGCTTGTTTCAAACGTCACGCTACTCGTATGCCGAGCGTATTAAAAGCAATAAATAATGAGATGAAATGCCTTTGGTAACTGTTTATTTCGTAGTGTAAGCCATTAAGCTTTTCTAGGTTGTCGGCGACCCTATATAGTTCTTGCAGTGCCTTTTTAAATTTGAAACTTCACACTATCCTTGGATCCCTAGTTGTGTATTTTTGGCAATTGTTTATGCAACTTTTTACGTACCCGAAGGTATTTTTCGATTCGTGGATAATCGACCCGGTTCGAAATTGCTCAGCATCTTTTAGTGTAGGTCTACCACGAATAGGTGCAGAGTCATGCGAGGTGAGCGTATTTGAAATTAAATCACATTCACTTACCGTAAACATCGTTGAAAAGAATCAAAAGATCGCTTTCTTCTCAAAATATAAAGAGCAGCGCAGCCAAACTCTTGCGATTTGCGAAGGTTGCTGTTTCGATGCGAAATTCCTTGTAAAATTGTTCAATTTTCCCGAATTTTCCTCAAAATGGAGGGCTATTTATGGATAATTTGGGTCAAATTGGCAGGGGCCTTATGGATAATTGGGGGAAAACTGTTTATGTCATGGACGGTTTTCGACGTTATGCGCATGCGCTAGTACAAACTCTGTCGAAGTAATTGGTTTTCATTTTGAAAGGACGTATATTTTGCTGTTTTAAAGCAATTTTTTGTTTTAAATTTCGTTAAAAAGTTTACAAAAGTACAATATACACTTAATGTCGACGAAAAAATATCAACATTGAACAACATTCATGCAACAATATTTGTATTTCATTACAAAAACCCTATAGCGTAAACGAGTTTAAAATTTAAAAAACCTACTTAAATGGTTTCAGCAGCATATCCTGTTGCCTGTTATGTATTTTTCTTCTCTTTTACATTCTTTATTTTAACACAAAGCCACAAAACAGTAGTTTAAATAGTATAAATTTGTGCCGCCGTTTTGTTTATTTATGTACGTAGCCGGTCGGGGCCTCAGTGGTCGGGGCGGGCAACAATTTTTCACTTATTGCCCGGGCGGGATACATTGCATTTATCTAAAGCCACGTAACTACAAATTATTATTATTATTTAAATTTATTTAAACACGGTAACCTGTCAGTTTCCTGGTTTTCATAGGGCCGTGCATCTATTTACAAAAGTATACTATCTATAGACTAAAAACTAATTAATATCGTAATAACAAAATAGCACGCAATAATTGTTTTAAATCATATATATCTATAATAGTGACATAAATCATGCAAACACTCAACAATCTATGACTTGAAATATCCATTAATAGTACTTTTGAATGAGTCAATAGATAGTTGATTGTAGTTATCCCTTATTTGCATAGGTAGTTTATTCCATGATGATGATCCACGATAAGAGAAACTATTTTTCATAAAATTCGTCTTAGGTTTTTTTAAACAGAGATTTATGTTATTACTTCGAAGGCTATAATCATTGTCAAAAGTAGCGGTGAAAAGGTTAGATAAATACTCTGGTGCGAAACTTCTAATCGCTTTAAAAGTCATCGCAAGTTCGCGTTTTTTCAGAGTGGTTTCTAGTGGTTCCCAATTAAGTTTCTTAAAAATGTCAGAGGAACGTATCTCATAATTAGAACCTGTTATCACACGAGCTGCTCTTTTTTGCAGTTTAACAAGCTTGTTCATATTTGTATTATTTCCATCATGCCATACATTGGAACAATAAGTTAAATGGGGTAAAATTAGCGCGTTATACATTGTCAAAAGTGTTTGTTCTGTTGTAAAGTTTTTCGCCCTCCTTAGGAGGGCTATATTTTTAGAAATTTTCTTACATTGTGCATCGATATGATCTTTCCATTTCAATTCTTTATCAATTTTCACACCCAAGACTTTTTTGTCCTGAACTCGTTCCACACTATGGTTTCCAAGGACTATGTTCGGATTACGAGATAGGTTATTTAATTTCTGGCGTGATCCAATAATCATGTATTCAGTTTTCTCTTTGTTTAGTGTAAGTTTGTTGCATGTTAGCCACGTTTGAACATTATTAAGATCGTTATTTAGTTTTTGCTCAATTTGTTCTGATGAAACACCTTCACATGCCAAGTTTGTGTCATCCGCAAACATCGAGGCATGCGTTGTTTCAAGGCAATTGGGTAGGTCATTGATATAAATTGGTCCAAGATTTGATCCTTGAGGGACACCACAATGTAGCGTTTGGGTATTAGATGAAGAGCCTGCAATTTTACAGATTTGTTGTCGCTGTTGAAGATAGGATTGAAACCATTGGAATGCAATCCCACCTACTCCATAGCGTTTAAGTTTTAAAAGAAGAATTTTATGGTCGACTGTGTCGAAGGCCTTTTTTAAATCCAGAAACAAAACTCCATTAATTAAGCCCTTATCCATATTAAAAAGCCATTTGTCAGTTGACTGAAGCAGTGTCGTTTCGGTTGAATGCAGTGGCCGAAAGCCAGACTGGTGTTTTGGAATAATGTTATTGTCGTCTAGGAATTTCGTGAGTTGTTCATAAACAATCTTTTCGAATATCTTGGGAACTGCCGAAAGAACTGAGATTGGTCTGTAATTTCCGCAATCTAGTTTACTTCCGGATTTAAAGATTGGCGTAACTTTTGCAAATTTCATGTCATCAGGGAAAATACCAGTAAATAAAGACAAATTAAAAATGAATGTTAATGGATCTGTGATAGAGTCACCTGCTAATTTTAGAAGCTTAATTGAAATATTATCAGTGCCTGTTGCTTTGGTAGCTTTCGATTTCTTTAATACGCTTTTCACATTTGCTTTTTCAATACTTTTGAAGTTAAAATCAGCTGTCCCTACTGTCAACGGGTCAACGTCAGTTGTACAGATGTTTTCAGCTAAGTTTAGTCCAATGGTAGCAAAATATTTGTTGAATTCATTAGCAATGTTTTTATCTCCTGTAACAACCTCATTATTCACAGAAATCGCATTGAGAGTCGTTGTTTTGGACTTTTTGTTTAATAATTCGTTAATTGTTTTCCAGCTGTCAGCACTATTTTTAGAGTTTGCAAATTTGGTATTGTAGTAATTAATTTTAGTTTCCTCTATCAGTCTAGTAAGTTCTATTCTTATATGTATTCCCAATTTCTCAATCCACTTATCCAGTTTATTACTAACTGCTCCTAAGGCATCTACTACTATTGGGATGACTTCTACTTTTTTCATTGCCCATATTTTCCGAATTTTCCTTTTCAACTCCTCATACTTTTCTACCTTCTCTGTTTCTTTTATACCAATTCTACAGTCCCCTGTAACTGCGAGGTCTATGATCTTGCACTCCTTTTCCTTCTTTAAAACCACTACAATATCAGGTTTTCGACATTCAATCACATGATCGCACTGTATGTTAAAATCCCAGAGAATCTTTACATTATCTGATTCAATTACTCAATTATTCATACCATTTTCAGCTTTCCCTAGTTGGTACAAACCACATAGCTTCCAGTTTACAATGCGAGCCACATTGTCATGTCTTCGTTTGTATTCTTTTTGTGCTAGCTTCTTGCATTCACTTGTCAAGTGTGTTATATGCTCTCCCTTTTCCCCACAAAGTCTACAGAGTGGAGACTCAACAGTTCTTTCTATGTGAAACTTTACATAATTTGTCCGTAGAGCTTGTTCTTGTGCAGCACATAGAAGTGCTTCAGTCTCAGGTTTCAAGTCTCCTTTCTTCAGCCAGCGCCATGTCTTCTCGTACCCTATCCACTTCTTTACCCAAATCTTAGTTATATTGTCCATACATTTTCTTGTCAATCCAGGCTTTCTCTAGCTCCTACTGCTTTCTTCTTAAATTTTTCTTTTGTTTCGCATCTTTCCGTTTCAATCACACCTGTCTTTGCAACTTGTTGTAAAAGTGGTTCCACACTGTTCTTTACATACCATCCCAAAATGTTCTCCTCTGTACGAATGCATCCTTCACAACTAATCAAACCTCTTCCGCCCTTTCCCCTCGGTAAATATAATCGATGAATGTCGCTTCTTGGGTGAAGAGCACCATACATTGTCATCAGTTTACGTGTTTTGCGATCCATTGCAGCAACTTCATCTTTTGTCCATTTCAAAACACCAGCTCCGTACCTCAGCAGCGCAACAGCCCAAGTGTTCATCGCCATGATTTCGTTTCTGCCATTAAGTTTTGATTTCAGCACCAGTCTTAACCTCCTCCCGTATTCCTTTATAAACTTTCTCTTCATTTCATCCTCCATAATTTTATTTAATTCCAGTATACCAAGATATTTATATCCATCTTCTTCTACGGACTTTATTGTTTCCTCATCAGGTAGCTGTATTGCATTACATTCCACAATCTTTCCTCTTTTCATTACAAGAATTCCACATTTCTTTATCCCAAATTCCATTCCAATGTCTGCTAACAATGTGGACAGTTTTCACCAGTGATTCTATTTGCTCCTTGTTCTTTCCAAACAACTTCCGATCATCCACGAATAGAAGATGGTTGATCTTGAGTTCTTTTCCGCGAAATTCATACCCTAACTTTTCCTTTCTCAGTATGAAGCTTAACGGCGTCATGCACATCACAAATATCAAAGGAGATAAACTATCACCTTGAAAAATACCTAGGCTTTCTCCCGAAGATGTTAACTCTGTTTTCCAGTTCTCCATACTACTTTCCACAACCATTCTCACATTTGCTGCGATTTTGAACATACTCATACATTCCACTATCCAGGAATGAGGTACCATATCATATGCTTCGCGATAGTCTATCCAGGCCATCGACAAATTTGTATGTCTTCTTTTACAATCTCTTAAACTAACTTATCAATTAACAATTGGTCTTTTGTTCCACTAGTCGTTCTTCTACATCCTTTTTGTTCATTCGGTAGTACATCATTCATCTCCAGAAAAGTGTACATACTTTCGGCAATCACCCCTGTCGTCAATTTCCACATCAATGGTAAGCAAGATATGGGTCGAAAGTTATCAAATGCATTACCCCATGATGGGTCTTTTAAGCACAACACTGTCCTACCATATGTGAGATACATTGAGGTAGTTCAGCCTTACCATTTAAAATCTCATCTAACTGTTCTGCAATCCTTTGATAACAAGAAGTAATTTTCTTTATCCAATAACCCTGTACTCCATCTAGGCCTGGCGCTTTTCAATTGGGGATCTTCTTACACTGCTTTGTAATATCTTCCTTATTTATCTTCAAATCGTTTTGTTTCAAATATTCGATTCCCTTTTTCACTTCATGTAGCCATTCAGAATCCTTATTATGTTCAATTCCATTGTCCCATATTTCGCTCCAGAACTTTATACTTTCATCCGCATCTGGTATCACTTTATCAACTTTACTTTCCTGACCATTGTTTATTTCCACATAAAACCTTTTTTGGTCACTCTGAAACATTCTATTCTGTCTATATTCTGTTCATACATCTTTACCTTCTCTATTTTCGCTAGTATCCTCTGCTTAAGCTCCTCAGTCATTGTTGGTAACCCCTTTGTTCTTATCTTATATTTTTCCTCGAGCCTTTTATATTTACCTTCCTTTCTGATTTGTCCCTTTTTCTTCCTTTCTAGTATGTTAATATGTATGTTATTATTATTATTATTATTATTATTATTATTATTATTATTATTATTATTATTATTATTATTATTATTATTATTATTATTATTATTATTATTATTATTATTATTATTATCCGATCCCGAAATTCAATTCAACCTTGACCCCCCGACTTACCAACAAATTACTAATGAGATACGTAAAATGAAATCGTCTGGCTCCCCTTGCCCCCTTGATCAGCTTTTGATAATTTGTTTGAAGCGATGTCCTTATCTGAGAACTTACCTCAGTGAACTAATTCAAGAAATTTGGCTATCTGGAACTGTCCCGAATGAATGGAAAAAAGCATGTACTATATTAATACATCAGAAAGGCAACACTGATGATCCGTCAAATTTCCGTCCCATAACACCTGAGTCCATACCATTAAAAGTTTTACATCTTGTCTTCGAAACGCAATATATTCCTTCCTCGCATCCAATAACTTTATCGAACACGGCATACAAAAGGACTTCACCCCTAACCTATCTGGCACTCTAGAACACACTGCGCAAATGGCTGACATCATTAACAAAGCCCGCATCACCCTACTTGATCTGAAGAATGCGTTCGGCGATGTCCACCACAATCTCATCCAATCAGTACTCGACTACCACCACATCCCAGAACACATAAAATTCGTTATAAAAAGTTTATACACTGATTTCCAAACCTCAATAATTACCTCCGAATTCCGCACCCCTTTTAAATCTGTTGGCCTTGGCGTATTGCAAGGAGATTGCCTCAGTCCTCTTCTTTTCAATATGTGTTTTAATACTTTAATCCAACATATAAAAGCTGAAAAGTACCGTCAGTTTGGCTTCTCCTTCAAGCTATTAAATCCTATCCACTGGTTCCAGTTCGCTGATGACGCAGCCGTAATCACTGGCAAGAATCTGAAAACCAGCATCTCTTAAATCGTTTTTCCACCTAGTGCCAATGGTCCAATATGATTATCAGAGTCGATAAATGTAGTACCTTTGGCATCAAGAAAGCCATCACAAAATCAGTCCAATATTTGCCGAAACTCCTCATCAACAATAATCTGATACCAACAACAAAGATTGGAGAAGCATTTCAATATTTAGGAAGGTTACTTTGATTTTAACATGTCGAATAATAACCATAAGACTGAACTAACCACCCTCGTTAATGAACTAATGACTGATATTGACTCGAAGCCACTCCACCCAAGAAATAAGCTTCTCGTGTACAGTCGTTATGTCTTATCCAAATTATCCTGGCATTTCACCATCGCAACACTTTCTAAAACATGGGTTATTGAAAATATTGATCCCGTAGTCAACCAATACATCCGTAAATGGCTTTAAATTCCAATCTCAGGAACACTAAGTACTGTTTTTCTAACTTGTAACAAATTTGGTCACAGTATTTATCCTCCATCGGTGAAATTTATCCAATGCCAAACAGTTCTTCGAAACGCTTTAAAACTTTATCATAATCAATCAATTAACTAACTGTGGAAATCTACTAATACTCATACTAACATCCAATACGACTTTTATAACTCAACCAAAAAAGTAATTAAAGATTTTCGCTCTGAACATGAAGATAAACTCAAAAACCAATTAACTTGTCAGGGATCCTTTTTCTCTAATGTAACAAATTTCTCCTTGTCGCATCTTAACAAAGTGTGGTCTACTGCTCAATCAAAACTTCAGAAAAACATTTATAACTTTACTATACGCTATATCAATAACTCTCTTCCGACACGTAAGAACCTTAGCAGATGGGGATTGTCTTCAAGTTCAGAATGCTCCTTTTGTCTCGGCCCAGAATCATTATTGCACGTGGTCGCTGGATGTCAGTGTTATCTCGATCGATTTACGTGGAGGCACAATTCAATCCTGAACTTTCTTCCCAATACCTTGCAAACTGTGAACGGTTCTGCCCTCTACGCTGAGGTGCCCGGATTCAAAAGTCCGTCAATAATAACTGGTGATACGTATCGCCCGGATTTGTTACTATCGTTATCAAATGGCTCTCTTTATGTGGTCGACCTCACTGTTGGCTATGAGACAAAGCTCGAGAACAACGTTAATCGGAAAAAAGCTAAATATAAAGAACTAGTAAAACAACTAGACGAAAATTTTAACGAAGTAAACTTTATAAATCTTTCTATGAGCTCCCTAGAAATGTTAGGAAATGTTGGTCTGTACAAAAACTACCAAACGTACTGTGTTAGGAAGATAATGACTATTGCCATTCGAAGTACATACTATATTTTCTGCTGTCGAAATAAGGAATGGGAAAGTCCGGACTTGTTAACTATTTGAAATATCTGATTGTCTTGTATATTTATATATTTCCATGTATTCTGTCTTGTCATTTTTATTAGTTCATATAGTTGTGTTTATTATTATTTAAACTGCTTATTTACATGAACGGTGATCTTCCAGTTCCCTGGTTTTTAAAGAGCCGTGCAACAACTAAAATACAATAGATAATCAAATTACCTATAAATACTATTTACATTATTAATTTACAATAATAAATTCACAAATTTATTAATTCTTCTGATTGATAAGTCTTTGAAATGAATCAACTGATAAATCGCCGCAGTTATCGACGATTTCAAGTGGTAGGCTATTCCAGGACATTGCTCCTCGATATGAAAAACTACGTTTTAAGAGATTTGTTTTTGGTTTATCAAGGTAAAGCTTTCGAGTATTGCTTCTTAAACTGTATGTGGTATTGTTGTTAGTGGTGAATAATTCAGTCAAATATGTTGGTACAATGCCTTTTAGTACCTTAAATGTCATTATTTGTTCCCTTTTAGTAAAAGTAGCTTCAATTGGCTCCCATTTTAAGATATCAAATATCTAGTGTGATCTAACGTCATAACCTGAATTTGTTATCACCCGCGCCGCTCGTTTTTTAAGTTTTTGTAGCTTTGTGATGTGTGAGTTGTTTCCATTATGCCATCAGGCCCGTACCTATGGGGAGGGTGACACCCCCCCCCCCACCCCAGCCCTCCCCCCTCTCAAAAATTGTATTCAGTCGATAGGACTGCTATCCAGTCGGTAGGACTGCTATCCAGTCGGTAGAACTGCTAGTTGGGTTAAATATTTTCGCGCAAAGGCAAGATCGTGGTCGGAATTTTAGAAAAAAAATTTGGAAAAATGGAGAAAATTTGTGATATCTGGAAAATTTTTTGAATGTTCCGGAAAATTTTTGTATGTCCAGAAAAAATTTTGGACCCCTGAAATGGTACACTGACCGAATTTTTTTTGCGACGTGTGGGGGAGGTCGCCAAAAATAATCTGTTCCGGAAAAAAAATTTTCGGCACTAGTCGATTGAAATGACCTTACACCCCCACCTGAAGAATTCCCTGAGGACGGCCCTGCATGCCATACAGTGGAACAGTATGTAAAATGCGGTAAAAGAAGTGATTTATACATTGTTAGTAATGTATCTAGTGTTGCAAAAGGCTTTGCTCTTCTCAAGTGGGCTATACCCTTTGAGATTTTTTTACACTGTGCGTCATTATGATCGTGCCACTTTAATTTATCATTAATTATGACCCCTAAAACCTTTTTGCTTGATACTTGATTTATTATCTGATTTCCAATGACTATATGTGGAACACTGGGCATATCATTTATTTTTACCGAGATCCGACTTTCATAAATTGTTTTTTTCTGTATTCAACGTCAATTTGTTGGCTAACAACCATTTATGTACGTTTTCGAGGTCGGTATTTAGTTTGTGTTCAATGTCACTGGGTGAATTGCTACAGCATGATATGTTGGTATCGTCCACGAACATGGAAGCTCGAGTTGTTTCTAAACAATTTGGCAGATCGTTTATGTAAATAAGAAATAGCAGAGGACCAAGGTTTGATCCCTGCGGAGCTCCACACCCGATCTTTTTAACATTTGAAATCGAGTTATTAATTTTGCACATTTGTTTCCTTTCGAGAATATATGATCTGAACTATTGTAAGGCTCTTCCTCTTATTCCGTAGTCTTCTAAGTATCTCATGGTCGACTGTGTCAAAAGCCCTTTTAAGATCTACGAATAATATGCCGCTAATCAAGCCATTGTCCATGTTGACGAGTAATTGGTTTGTAGTATGAAGAAGTGTAGTTTCTGTTGAATGTCGACTACGAAAACTTGACTTGATGTGTTGAGATAATCGTATTCTGATTAAGAAAGTTGTTTGGTTGATTGTAAACAATCATTTCGAATGCTTTTGCTACGGTCGATCACAGATATAGGTCTATAGTTACTACAATCAGATTTCTCACCTGTTTTGTAAATAGGGGTAACTTTGGCAAATTTCATTTTGTCTGGAAAAATTCCAGTACTAAACGATAGATGAAATATATAGGCAAGTGAATCGATAATTGCGTATCTTGTGACTTTTAAGAGTTAGTTCGAAATTTTGTCAAGACCAGATGCTTTACAGGCTTTGCCTTCCGTCAATACTCTCTCTAGTTCTGAATATGTTATGTTCTTCAATTCAAAGACCTTGGATGCAGGTGTTACACAGCTAAGGGGATCAAAATCAGTTGGTGTAATATCATTCGCTAACCTTGGTCCTATTGTAGAAAAAAAGTTATTGAATTCGTTTGCTATGTTCATGTCACCCGTTACTTTACTGCCGTTCACTTTTACCTCTTTAATTTGCGTGTATTTCGATTGCTTATTCAAACGTTCGTTAATTAATAACTTTCCAGCAATTCTTGGTATTATTACTATTTTCTAATTTTGATTTATAGTAGTTAGCCTTTGCTTCCTTAATTACGCGATTTATCTGATTTCTGCAACGTTTATACGATTCATGAAATGTTGCAGATTTAAGGCTAATTGCTTTTTTCTTTAGATAATCTCTATGGTAACTCATAGTTTTGATTTCATTAGTTAGCCATGGTTTGTATTCACTTTTGACTTTTCGTCGTCTGACTGGTGCATGAAGATTTCTTTCCAAGTTTGCCATGCTATGTTTGGGTCTGTATAGCTTGGAAATGAATTAAACGCATTACTTAAATCATGTTGAAATTGAGCCGCATTAAAATGTTTAAATTGTCTTGTTTCGACAAATTTTTGGCTTCGCTTTTGGGATGCAAATTTTTCCGCATATAAAATCTAAGCTATGATCATTTATTCCAAAGTGTATTACCCCAGAATGTACAGTACGTCTTGGTATCGTCTATTTTTATTAGAATTCAGTCCAACAAAGTTTTGGTGGCAATGGTAACCCTTGTCGGACACTGTATATGCTGCTGTAATTGATAAACACTATTAGGTCATTAAGTTTCTTAATGTGAGTATTTTTCTCAGACTCAGTGGTTAAAAGGTTGCAGCTTAGGTCGCCTGTTATAATAAGTTCCTTGTTTTCGTCATGTGCTTTTTGTAAGAAGTTTTCAAATTTGTCAAATAGTTTTATGCTTGAGTCTGGCGGGCGATATCAAGTCGACACTAGCATGGGTTGTTTAGTTTTTGGTTTATGCTTCTATGTCTGTGTCAGTTGGTATTAAATCATCTCGCACGGTGTGAGGAATTGTATTTCGTAAGTAAATTGCAACACCTCCCCCGTTTCGATTTCTATCTTTTCTTGCAATGTCAAAGCGCGGGTAGCCATGCGCCCGGGATGGCGGGCGCATGGCTATGGTTCACCCTTTACCATTCGGTGGGTGGTCATCTTCGCTGATCTCAAAATATATTGGACTGTCGCGAATGGCGAACACTGATTGGTCAAATTTAAAATTTGCGTTTTAACGACTGCATAACAACAGCGAAGTAACAAACATTTCTTTCAAATATATTTGTTTTTGCAATAGTTTGTAAATTTAAAAGCTTTTTTGAGGGGAAAAAACGTAAAGGCTTGCTAGAAGAAGGGAGCAAAGACGCCGACGTTAAAGGTAAGTTTCGAAAGGTAATCGTTGAATAGAAAAAATAATTTCAGTGTATTTTCATTAATTACTCTTTTTATTATATTAAAATCTTTAGATAAAGAGAAAGTTACTTTCATGGAATAATTTGAAATCATTTTATTTCAAACTCAAAGTTTATCGATAGATAAAAGGCAGTTTAGTTTTAAGAACATTTTAAAACGTTTTGTGAAGCGTTTATGGACAGGTTGAACTTTACATCAAATTGATGTTTGTATTATAATTTTGTAATTAAAATTGGTATTGGGGGGGGGATTTCAATTATAAAAACATTCTTAAAGGGAAATGGCAATATATTTTTTATTTTCTCATTTGAAAGAACTTTTGAAACTATTTAATAACTTCTTTTACCGATTCTTCATATCTTGCATCTTGCCTAGTTCTTGAAATATTTTCACTTGATGTAACGAGATGTCAGCCATCTTGGATAAAATTTTGATCTCATTAACGGTAGTTTTGGTGACGTCACAACAGGGATTAACCATATAAAAGTATTCGTTGCTGACCAAATATTGATTGGTAGATGTTTTAAAGGTTTCAAGTAATCTTGATATTTCCAAGGGCATACAGAGTATAATTTTGAGTGCAAAATGATTAGTGGTTATCTAGATAAAAATATTGCGTGACCCCTGTTGTGTCGTAACATGCATATCCACAAAAATCCAAGATGGCGGACATTTCATTTCTTTCGATTAAAATATTTGTAGAAGTAAGCAAGATATGAAAAAACGGTAAAAGTGTCTTATATATGGTTTTAAATGTTCTTTCAAACGAGAAAATAAAAAATATATTGCCATTTCCCTTTAATGAAATTATCATCTTACCGTGACAACTACTTTAAATACTTCATGTTTGGAAAATATAATGATTTTGTCAGTAAAGGCGGATTTCCAGTCCTCGCACGAAGTTCCTCGCAGCTCGCTGCGAGTGCATGCATGAGCACTTTCATCCAATCACAATGCTAAACAGTTAATTTTAATTAGATGCAGGCACTCGCAGCGAGCTGCGAGGAGCTTCGTGCGAGGACTGGAAATCCGCCTTAAGGCGAGGGTTTCTGCATACATGTATATCTAGTGAACATACAGTTGTTTAAATTAAGGTTGTACCCAAGCAAAGTGGAAAAGTTGAATACAGACACGAAAGGCTTGCTGGGAATCGTTAAAAAATTCAATAATTTTTTAGTCATTCCCAGCAAGCCTTTCCGCTCGTATTCGACTTTTCCGCTTTGCTCGGGGACAACCTTAATTAAAATAGCTGTATGTATAGTTAATCATCTAATAATCTTCATTCGCATATTTCAGAATGATATGCTAAAATCAATATATTAAGTAACATGGTCCAATACATCAAAATGCGTGATTACAAAAGAAGCGAAAACAAAACCTGTAAACTTTGTGTTACAAACAGACAGTAATAACTGTCGTAATCATAAAGTAATAATAGAAATGAAAAACCATACTAATTGCATGGCTTTATCCTACTTAAAGCCAGCTATAAACTTAATACGTTTTACAATGTACAAAATGGCCGACACTAAAATGACCAATGACTAACGCGGGCTCAGGTGCCACAGCAACCCAATCCGGTAACTAACAAATATAAAGTTTATGTCAATAACGTATGTGTAGATAACACAAGAGTCAATATTACAAGCTCGATTTCCATCCGTGTATCATGATATAGCCTATTGCCGTTATAAACAAACAGACTTTTGGCCTGTATATGGGTGAAAAACTGTATGGTGGCGCACCTTCGTATTTTGCCAACCGCACAAATAATCTAGGTTTTCATTAGCATATCACTTTAAATAACAGGAATTAAGATAACCAAAGATTGGCACATGCTAATTAAATAGTCAGGCGATTATAGTAAAATTGTAATATCAGATGATGCATTTTACCGAAATCTCATACATCGAAATGTCTTTCAATTCCTGCAGTACATGCATGATAATTATAAAAAAAATACGGAATACAACAATTCTTCTCTCCAAAGTGAACACATCCCGATGTCCTTTTGTGTGGTTTTTTGCTTGGGCCAACCCTACCTAGCTTTTGGAAATCCCTACCCTAAACTTTTTTATTGGATCATGCTTGTAAGTGTTTCGACTTAGAGGAAAAAGTTTGTGGAAAATTGAAATTTGAGGCAATATTAGGAAATTTATCTTTGAATGTGGAAACACTGACTAAACAAAATGGCGTCCGCTTATTCGGAAAATTAAAAAAAAAGTTAAAACCTACCAACCCTACCTAAGTTTTTATAAGAAGAAACCGGAAACCCACATATATTTTTTTGGCCTTGTAACAAAAAATTCCATTGACACTGGTCGTCAGACAGCAAACGTGTTTTTTATAGTTTTGTGGAATGGTAGTTTTTACATGTGAAACGTATAAAATTGCTGTTTTTCTTCACGTAAAACGTGATTGAAACTCTCTTTTGCCACACTCTAGTACAAGAGGTTACTCTCTTAATAACCTTTTGCACGTACGAGTGAGATTAAATCATAATAAGCAACTATAAATTGCAGCAGTCGGTTTAAAGGCTTTGAATTCACCACTTTGCAAACAACACAATGATGTGATGTTTGTTGCATGTTGATCTCCTACCACGTGACCTCCTTACGGGAGATGGAAATTAGTAGGAACGTGGTCGTTTACGTGCGATGGGACACGAACATATAGATATATAGATATACACAGAGAAATAGACTAATAAAACATAAATAAGAACTTTACAATGTTGGGTAAAGTTTATTTGTGTAAGTAAATGACGCGCAACATCACCATAAAACTCTCACTTACATTGTGGTTTTGGAATTTCCCAAGTGATATCCGCTGAAAACCAATTTCCAACCTTTGCACATTTTATCGTCAAATCAAGACCACTGCCACCAGGTGGAAATCCGTTCGGAGAAGTTCCCAAACTTTTGCCGCATTCTTAAATAAATGAAACTGCATTATAGACCTTGTTCATCAATTGTGATCGAGGCCTCGTATCCTAGGAAACGGGAGAAAACGCGGGAAAACAAGCGAAAGCTGCTTCACGAGCCAAATTCAGAAGCCATTGTGTCGACTTTAATGGCTTGTTTCTTGTTATTTATTTTGATTATATTGTGAGTTTTAAGATTTTGTGCTCACAACGAAAGCCGGTTTTTGTCCCGTTTTTTTGTGTGGAAAGTGTAAAAATATGATAACATAGCGGCGATGTTTATTCAGAAGCGAAAAAACAGTACTTTACTGAGATTTTAACGTCAATACATCCGAAAACATCAAAAAAAATATGGGATAAAATTTTATTTTATAGTTTTGATATGTTCTTTGTATGTTTGCATGCGTGGCGATAAAACATATAATAGTTTTGTTTGTGGAAACACTACGTAAATTTATTCCTGCAAACTTTCGATCCGATTTATATATATATATATATATATATATATATATATATATATATATATATATATATATATATATATATACCGTATATATAGTCATAACAACGTATTTTACTAGTCTGAGTATGGCAAATGTCGACAGTGCATTTGTGGCAAGCATTTGAAGGGTTTCATCATTTAATACGTACAGTAGTGGAAACGAACTGGTTCGCAATTTTTGACAAGAAAATTATTGACTAATGGCATTGAGAGTACTATAATGAAACTATGAAAGTAATGATTCTTGCACATGTTGCCGTTGTAAGTGTAAATCGAGTTGTAAATGTTGATGTTTATGTACTTTTCAATTTAGCATTTTCATTGGTGACTTTAATTAATATAAATTAGTTGAATGAAACCAATAGAAGGCTATTTAATTTCGTAAGGTTACATAATTACACTGGCCTGTAGCCCAAGTGTCTTAAATCTCTCTTTTTCTGTTTTCTGTTTTCGACGAGAAATGGAGTTTGCGTTAGGTCATCGCAGGCTCAGGGTGCAACGTGCTCCAGTGACATATTCAGTTCAGTTTCAAGATGGCGGCTTTTCACTGAGCGATCTAATATATATTTCACACAGTTTCGTTGAATTTTCAAATAATTGTGCCGGTTTTCTATGGATTTTACGTTGTGTCGCACTCCGGCCTTTCTTGCGTGTTGAATTAGTGTGTTTTTCTTTGTGTAACGACTCGAAAACCCCAAAACTTGGACCAAGCGAGTTTATACAATATAGTGGAATATAAACAAGGACAAGTTAAAGGTTTGATAGTTCAACTTTTTAATTAACAAGTATAAATATACGTTCTACGTAGGCTCATAAACATGCTTGTGCTCTTTTATTTATTTGCATAATTATAAATTTGCACCTAATTACATTAATTTGCGCCAAATTACTTTCTAATTCATCATATATTACTATATAATGTATGTTTTCGATTGTATTCAGCGAGGTGGCGTTGCGTGCGGCGAATTGAAACGCGATACGGTTTGATTTGTTCTTGGAACAAGATCCAACTTCCCCCCTCCCCTTTTTTAATTCTCAAATTGTTTATTAGATGTTTACTGGTTGGGGTTAGAGAAGGGCTTTGGGTTGGGATCAGTTTATCTTATAAATGGAAGCAAATTGGCGTATTTTTTAGAAGAATTGTCTATGTCTATGAACTTTTTAGCTCCTGAAACTAGCCATATAACGGCATTAAAAATCAATGACTATAATTTCTTCGCTATTATTGGCCCGTCATTATTCACGGTTGGTAGTTGATTATCATAGTATTACAGTGGGCCTGGCTTGTCAGGTTGAGTTGCCCGTAGCCGGAGGGTACGTCTGAGCCGGCGTCTTGGTATATTATGTTTGATAGTTGCTGATCATGATTGTATTTATTGGTTGTATTTATATGATCCAGTATCCCTATGATCCTGTATCCCTATCTACTTCTCTACTACACATTACACCCAGTACCACGAAAGTTGCCATTTTCAGGCCAGTGTGAACGCCTGAGCAGGCGTCTTGTTTCTTTATCAATGATCATAACTATAGACAATTGGTGTCTGCATTCATTACAGACAAGCAGACTTTGATAGATCATTTTTATACAAATTTAGCAGAGTCAGAAGCTAAGGCACACATATTGGAAACATTTCTCTTAATTAAATTAAAGCACTTTATATCAGTATGTGCATTGAATAATTGCTTTCATTAAAGGAAAGCCAAAGTAATAGTGGCTGCATGAAGAGCAGAGATTCAGCTTTAGAGATTGGAATATCAATACTTATAGTAACAGTTGCAACCAGTCATAATTATCAACTTGTAGCATATAACTATATATATCCTGGAGGGGGTTCTCCCTTTTTCATCCACCCTGATTTCTGCAACTGAATGTCATTGCCAAGAACACCAAGTAAGCAATTTATAACCCCCCTTTCCCCTATCCCATACTATATTGTCTTATAATCAACAACAACCATATGTCATAATGGGATCTTATTTATAGCACACAATGTACAAAACTAACATAATATTCTGTTTATTGGATTTTTTTCCACGACAAAATATTATTGCATGGATCTGGTATGCTGAATTATATCATTCTATTCAAGAACTATATGCATCGATTATACTTCTAATTTCCATACTGGCATCATTTGTTACTGATGAATGACTTTCATGAAATATATGACCTATTTGACATATTTACTAGGCATAAACAGTTGATTTGTGTGCCATCAACCCTGACTATGACATTTTCTAAAATGAAATAGATCAATTATAAACAGCAGAAATGTTGATGTTATGTATCAATTATGGTGTAAAAAGGCTTTCAAAACTCTGCAAATGTATATTGGCACCACCTGTTATGCTGACAACTTCTATGCATCTACAATGTTCTCGCATGCCTGCTAAAGTTTATTATGAACTATCAAGATTATGAACAGGGATTGATTTACTGGGGGATGTGGGAGGGGGGGAGGAGTGGACCCCCTAGCCCTGGCCAGGGGGGGGAGGGGTGCTATTTTTCATGATAATTTGAGTAATATGATGATAAGCGAACTGTAAACAACAATTACAACTCAATTCCTGTATTCAAGCAAGCCCTTGCAGTAGTGAAGCAAGTTGATGGGTGGGCGGCACGCATGTTCGACACAACTCGGCACCAGAGCTGGCAGAGCACCCCCCCCCCCTTAGCGTACCTATTTTTTATAATTAGTTTAATAATTTTGAGCGATTTGTAAACAATGCAATTTCGCTTGGCTTTCAAAGACAAAGGCCATAAATCGCTAGAATACTGTTGTTTAGTAATACTGTACATTTGACATCCGTAATTAGTACAATTTCTAACGCTGAATCGAACGGTGGTATTTTTATCCTTATTGCACCATGTAGGCATTACAAATACACTATGAAACGTACGGCGAGTGGTTTGTCAACAAATACGTACTGCGAGCGATTTGTCGTACAATACAATTTCGCTTGATTGTCATGCAAAGGCCATAAATCGCTAGAATACTGGTGTTTAGTAATACACTTGACATCCGTAAGTACAATTTCTTACGCTGAATCGAACGGTGTCGCTTTCTTCTCAAAATATAAAGCAGCGCAACCAAACGTATAAACTTGCGATTTGCGAAGGTTGGTGTTTCCATGACGAATCCCATGTAAAATTTTCAATTTTCCCGAATTTTCCTCAAAACGCAGGGTTATTTATGGATAATTTGGGTAAAAATTGGCAGGAGCTGCACGAGCTTTATGGATAATTTGGGTAAAAATTAGGTAGCGCATTAATATTCTATTTTGTGGCTATCGATCTTCGATCCACGATCCACTGTCGGAGAAAAATGCGAGCCGAAACCTATACTCGTCTGGGGCGCAGGGTGCCCCAGTGGGTAATAATGTACATATGTAATTTTAATCTCAGTATTCTGAAGAAGGCTCGTAGTGTATATATATATATATATATATATATATATATATATATATATATATATATATATATATATATATATATATATATATATATATATATATATATTTATATATAGCTTAAGATTTTGGTTTAGGAAACACAAGCAGTGCTCAATACCATATAGATAGAGCGTAATATAGTTTTTCGTTTTACCTCAAAAAACACAACAGTCTGTTTCATCCGTATTTCACGGTTACAATATTCAAATAAGCGAATAAGAGGAAGGGATGAAAAGCAACCTATCATTAAAAATATTAGTAAATTAAAGATATAATGGTTAGTAATTATCGTCCTATACTGTAGCAAAGCATTAGAATAGGTCAAGAGGAGTTGATCTAATGTTGGCATTTAAAATAGGATTAAGCTTGGATATGAAAAGGCGAAATGAGCAAATCAGTTCTTTTACATGAAAAAAACTAACTATAGGATAATCAATTATGCATAACTCAAGATCAGTAAACTCATGTAATGTTTTTTAAAAATAAAAATGTTTTAAAATGCTAAAAACCTTACGTTTAATAATAATAATAATAATAATAACATTTCTATAGCGCATATACATTGCTGTTCTATACGCTTCCTGATCTTCGTACTGGCAGACAAGCATTCAGACAGACAGAGAGATGTACAAAAGCGAATGAAATTAAAATCAATAAAAAATTCAAAAGATTTCCAGACCCAGTCACAATTGACCAGGATTTCACTAAACAGAAGAGTTACTGTCCTGAAATAGGATACAACAGTATACAGTATATTGATATGGAACATGGCAACAACGAAACGCTAATTTCCGGATATTTTATCATCACTGTGATAATTATAAAACGACACCTGCAATCAACTTACCATATGACGGTCCTTTTGTAGTGGCTATTTGTTTGTGAGTCTGGAAGAAGAAAACAAATTTAGAAATTACACTCATATTGGATACAGATAACGTGAACTGCAAGTTGCAGGATCTGGTACATTTAAGCAGTCGTAAGAGGTGTTGAAGTGAGATCTCCCCTCCCCAGAAAGTTAAGAGTTTCAAATTTGGGTTTTGCTCTATGTTGTTATTAAGATCAACTTTTACTTACAGTAATTTTAATCGTTTGCTGTGTTGTATTGACATCCCTTTTTATTCGAACGACTATAGTAAAAATGAAACAAATGTTAAAGTTTTTACAGCTTCTTCACATGTTGCTTAGTTCTCCAAATATTAATCATCATAAATTAGTGAGCTGTTTACCATCTTGCATTATTGGGGATATGCATGTTACCTACAATCAAAAATTTCATCACTTGACATTGACAGTGCATGCAAAATTTGACCTCCACTTCAATAACAAGCAGAGCAGCCCCTCCTTCCAACATTCAGTAGTGTGTTAGACTTGCAAGGAGTTACGCCACAATGAATCTGCCTCGTCCGCAGGCCCTCGTTGCGTCATGGGAAGGTCACGATCTGGCGAGGACCTGCGGAATCTTGTAAAAAAAATGGCGCCGGCATCACGTCAGCAAGTAAATTTCTACATAATCTTGAATATACACAGGATATAAAAAAGCAGCGTGAAACTTGTAAATTAAACTGGCGACTCTTAGGACGTGGAAGGAAGCATTTTTTAATGATAAGGTTTGTTGTCCACACCAACGAATAAAACTGCCTTCTTTAACGAAGCAGGTTCAAAACAACATTTATTCATTTTACAAGATTCCGCCGGCCCTCTCGAAATCGTTACCTTCCCTGACACAACGAGGGCCTGCAGAGGAGGCAGACATTGAATGGGGTAAGGGGCCTGAATACGGAATCGTGAATAAAATGTGCAAGTACTGTACGTAATAATATGTCAATCGGAAATTGGGTAAAGGATTTTGATATTTATACTGAGTGCGCGAAGGATTATTGAACAGGATTGCAAATATGCAATGGCGAGTCCATAAATTGTACATCTGTCTCTATTTCAGATTACAGTCTGTCAGATACCGTTTTCCCAGACCTCTCAACTTTGCAGAGAAGGTAAGAGTGAGACTAGTACCGAAAAAATTTTTTGCGGAAAAATTATTTCGGCGCCCCCCCCTCGCCAAAAAAATTTCGATCAGTGTGCCATTTTAGGGGTCCAAAAATTTTTCCGGACTTACCAAAATTTTTATGCGTTAGATTTACTAAACTTGGCGTGAGAGAGAGCGTGAGACTGAAGCGAATTGCGTGAGACTCACGCCGAATGCGTGAGAATTGAGAGGTCTGGCGTGAGAGCGTGAGACTGAAGCGAATTGCGTGAGACTCACGCCGAATGCGTGAGAGTTGAGAGGTCTGTTTTCCGCATATACTAAATGTTACTATGCCGTATAGGGGTAGTTTTATATGGCCAGTACTGCTTCTGACTTCACTTAAGCCAGTAGAAAGAAAGGATCTGTGCAAATATTCAGATTTTTGACCCACCCGGGACATGCTTAAAATTTCAAGTTTTGGGCCAACTGCAAAATTTTAAATCCTTGAACCACCTCGGACCTGGGCGAAAATTCAAATTTGGTGGTGGGCGAAAAATTTTAAATTTTTCACTGGGGGGGCGAAAATTTTGAATTTTTTCACAGTTGGGCAAAAATTTATAATTTTTTTACAGGTGGGCGAAATTTTTTAATATTTCACAGATGGACGAAATTAAAATGTTGACAATTTTCATAGGTGGGTGAAAAAAAATTTTCACAGGTGGGCGAAAATTTATCCAAAATTACGAACAGTCTATTGTTTTGAGCGAAAGCCCTTCGTCGTTGAAGTTGTACTTGTATTTTACAGATACTGTATATAGTTCCAGCCGTATCAATCCGAAACTTTCTTATATGAGAATTTTATTTACGGTTGGTGGCTTTAATTAACCAAAAAACCATCTCAGATCCGCTTTCCTACCATCACGTACCCATCCAGTTTATTTGCCCTACTGTACTACAAAAATTTTACAGTGCGAAATAAATGAAAGACATGATGGGATATCATGGTCAAGGCAACGAATACAGTAATAAAAACAATATTTTATTGGATTCTTCTAAACGTAATAATTATGGGAAATGTGACAAATATTTCCGATCTCGCCCATCATTCAAATCTCGACTAGGTCTAGCCCAATTTTCGCAAGAGATGTTTTTGATTCACAAACGCCGAAAGGAAGAAAATCGAGCCGTTATAAATGGTGGCAGCCGTTCTTGTTTGAAATCGCGAACGTGAAACTGCATGACTGCCGTTCTTGATTTCAAGCACGAACTGCTTACTCATAATTATGTACGCCTTAATTTCTCTGATGGAGTCAGACTGATTATTTTTCCATATTTAACCTTCACCTTGTATTTATGTGCATCAACAAAACTCAATGAGACGCATTAAGTACTTTTGAAGGAGACTTAGCTTAATTTTACGAGAAGTGATATGAATATTTCTATTAATGACCTCACGACTGTAAACAAAATTAATCTCGCGAAAACTTTAAAATCTTGTAGAATAGACGTCACCTGTGAAGATTCCTGATTGGTCAATTGTATGTGAGAGTATATATAATACATATCTTTGCAGACTTTGCCCGATATTCTTGCTCATATACAGTGCACACTAGCTATTTCAAACGCACATCATGAATGATTTAAAACGTTTCACAAAGTTGTATACTAGACCCCAATTTGTTAATGTGCTTCAGGTTGAAATGGCAAGTTATAATGCAATAAAACATTTCGACTGAAATTATTTTACCTTCCAAATTGTTTCCACTTTCTTGACAAAATCGTAGGCGTTGTCTTGTTGCCTATATATAGTATACAAACGAAATTACCTTTCACTGTCGCACCCTAACCGATTATCTATTCAAGCCCTGATTATATCTATAGACTAGAAAATACATGCATGCAGAAACTCTCGCCTTGCTGACAAAACCATTGTATTTTCCGAACATGAAGTATCTAAAGTAGTTGTCATGGTAACACGATAATTTTATAAGAAGATTTTAAGAATATTCTTACAAATGAAAAATCGCCTAAAAATATCTCTTTTAATTACAAAATTATCAATTTCCCAACTAGTCTAGGATCTGTATATGAGTTTGCATGCGTTTCATTTAGGACAGGTAACCTCAACTATTTTAGGGTAAAATGACCATGGCGGTCAACATGGCATATGTGCCGAAACCTGAATCCGGGACGAAAGTCCTGAAAAGGACCCCGCCCTGAAACGGCAGTGTCGACATAGCTCTAACTTCCCAAAAGGAAAAGCAATAGCCTTTCTGAAGTGCTTATAGTGTTCAGAAGGGTTGGTTTTAGGGGTGGTCATTGGAAGGAAAAATTTGTCTAAGTATAATATTTTATAAGTAAATGACCATGCACCACCCCAGGCAAATTGCTATTTATGCACAAAATAACTAATATGCCTGGTAGAAATTAAATTTTCTTATTTCCTAAAAAAATTATCATGGGGTGAAAAACTATGCTCAATTTAATATAATTATTGTGGATTTCATAAGGATTGTCATTATTTTCATTAATTAAATATAATACATTTTATTTCACTTAGCCCCCACGTCTTGTTTGCTTTTTATCGCCGAATCTGGCAAATATCATCCAGTTGTTGTACTTTTACATAATCATGAATGGCTGAAGAAGATTTCAAAGAAGGTTTCGTCAAGTTTGGAAACAGTGCAGTGTATTTTATCTTCGATATTGTGTCCTTCGATATTTCGTGAAATATGGCGCCATTGCAATGGCGCGTCGCTTCTCTGCTCAATAAATGCCACTTCTTCGTCTTCCTATGTATTTAGATTAGAGTATCCAGAAGTAATTCATTGTATAGAATAATTGAAAACATTAGTTGTATCTGGAAGGAGAAAACCTCCCAATACAGTTGTCTTGTCAGAATTCAAAAGAAGTAATTTAAAAGTCACGCGCAAGTTCGTGAAAACTCCTCGTGGGCTACATGACAGGAGGTGAATATTTTCACGAAACGTTTGTTCGCCACCACAGAAACCTATATATAAGGGAAACCTCACATATCGATTTTGTCCACGAGAAACGTCATATGTTCGTTTCTCTGGAGAGCCCCCCCCCCCTTAGAAACGTCACACATAGTTATCGATATTTTGTTCTTATAGTACACACAAGGTAATTTTCTACTACTTTTTTCGGTCGGCTATTGGCGATGCTTCCGCGAGGAATATGTCATCCAACGTTTCTCAAAACAACTTTTTTTGCATGAAATATTGATAATTTTAGCGCGTATTTTTTTTTAAATTTGAGTGTTTTCAATGCAAGGAAGGCGTAATAATATAAATGTATAGGTATAGAACAGGTATGGTATTACGAATATATAGGCTGCTGTTTGTATCAAATTGTTTTCTTTTTTATATTCTGCAAAGATAAAAACTATCGAATTTTCCCATGATGTTTACAGAGAAACGTCACAGCTGCCAACCCCCCCACCCCCAAACGAACATATGACGTTTCTCGTGGAAAAAATCGATATGTGAGGCTTCCCTAACTAAATACACTATATTTATTGAATGTTTATGATTGATGATAAAAACAATAAATATTTGCGTATTTTATCATCAATCATAAACATTCAATAAATATAGTGTATTTAGTTAGGTTTCTGTGGTGGCGAACAAACGTTTCGTGAAAATATTCACCCCCTTGTATTGTAGCCCACATGGGCGTACCGGAAGGAAAAAATTAGGGGGGCGGCAAGAAAATTGCCCGACTTTTCGAGATTCTGCCCGACTTTTCGGGATTCTGCCCGACTAGGACCAAAAAAATTTTTCCGGAAAAATTATTTTGGCGACCTCCCCCCCCCCCGTCGCCAAAAAAAATTTCGGTCAGTGTACCATTTTAGGGGTCAAAAAAATTTTCCGGACAAACAATTTTTCAGGAGCATAACATAAATTTTCGAAAAAAACAAAATTTGCCAAAAAATTGAATTATTTTTAGACAAAATTGACAGAATTTGACCCATTTTTTTTTATTGCAAACCAAAATTGCCCGACTGTTCATCGAATATTGCCCGACTGCCCAAAAAACTGGGGGGGCTGCCGCCCCCCCCGCCCCCCCGCCCGGTACGCCTATGGTAGCCCACCAGGAGTTTTCACGAACTTGGCGTGACTTTTAAATGACTTCTTTTGAATTCTGACAAGACAACTGTATTGGGAGGTTTTCTTCTTTCCAATACAACTAATGTTTTCAATTTTTCCATTGGGACTATTCTACAATGAATTACTTCTGGATACTGTAATCTATATACATAGGAAGACGAAGAAGTAGCATTTATCTGCCAGAGAAGCGGCGCGTCATTGCAATGGCGCCATTTTTCACGAAATATCGAAGGATACAATATCGAAGATAAAATACACTGCACTGTTTCCAAACTTGATGAAACCTTCTTTGAAATCTTCTTCAGCCATTCATGATTATGTAAAAGTACGACAACTGGATGATATTTGCCAGATTCGGCGATAAAAAGCAAACAAGACGGCAAAATATGGCTGAAATTGTGTTTTAATTTCGTGGGGGGTACGTGAAATAAAATGTATTATATGTAATGAAAACAATGACAATCCTAATGAAATCCACAATAATTATATTAAATTGAGCATAGTTTTTCACCCCATGATAATTTTTTTTAGGAGATAAGAAAATTTAATTTCTGCCAGGCATATTAGTTATTTTGTGCATATTTAGCAATTTACCTGGGGTGGTGCATGGTCATTTTCTTGTAAAATATTATACTTAGACAAATTTTCCTTCCAATGACCACCACTAAAACCAACCCTTCTGAACACTATAAGCACTTCAGAAAGGCTATTGCTTTTTCTTTTCGGAAGTTAGAGTTATGACGACACTGCCGTTACAGGGCGGGGTAATTTTCAGGACTTTCGTCCCGGATTCAGGTTTTGGCACATATGCCATGTTGACCGCCATGGTCATTTTACCCTTAAAACAGTAGAGATTACATGTCCTAAATGAAACGCATATATACAAACTCATATACAGGTCCTAGACTAAACGTATATATGTTAGGTATGTTATTATACGTAATATAAGCTTCAATTTAAGGTAAAATTCAACCACAAATGCTTCGCAAAACGTTTTATATAATTAAAGTGTTCTTTATAAAACTAAACTGCCTTTATTCTTTAATTAAATGGCTTTATCGATAAACTTTGAATTTGCAATAAAATGATTTCAAATTCTCGCATGCAAATAACTGTGCTTTCTTTTTTATTTAAAAAAGGGAATCAATATTAATAATACACTGAAATTATATGCTGTCTTGTTTAGTTGTTTCATATACGCAAAGTGCCAAAGGGCCAAAGGCGGTCGGGTTTTTAAGCAATTATAAAATCAATATTTAAAACAAACATACCTTCGTTAACGTCGGCTCCCTTCTTTTAGCCGACTCTTTCGCCCTTTCTTTCTGAGAAAGCTTTTGAAATTTACAAAATCTTGCAAAAATGCGGCGAGCAAAAATGAAATATATTTGCAAGAAATTTATCAATCATCAAATCCAGAAATGTTTGCTATTTCGCTGTCGTCATGCAGTCGTTATAATGCAAACTTTAAATTGGACCAATCAGTGTCCGCTATTCATGACAGTCCGCCATATTTTTGAGATCAGTGAGGATGACCACCCATCCAACACCCCAACACCGTTGGTGAGCCACGATCAGATGAGATCAGTGAGGATGACCACCCATCCGCGATCATTGATGAACTTTAGACTTCGCTAATGCTTTCGTTTCCCCGGGTGTAATTAGCCGGGGGGAATTAGTACCCTCGCACGGGACTTTGCGCGGTCGGCTCGGGGAATTAACAACTCCCCCACCCCGCTCATTGTAAAAATAAAAAATCAATGATTTCCGCAAACTACCAAATGAGTATCCCTCAGGCCTGGGAACGAGGTTGACTATTCGTAATTTCAAAATTAGTCAGAATAAGGGAACTCTCAGTGAGAGTGAGGCAACACTCAGTGAGAATTAGACAACACTCAATCAGAATAAGCCAACACTCACGGCCCGTATTCTAAAAGGTCACTCACAGTCAATGAGTGGAAATTCAATCTGAGCTTCTCTCGAGTGTTATTGCTGTTTTTGAATAGCTGGAGGGTTTGTGTCGTACCTTAATATGTGACTACTCACCCTTTAGCTATTCAAGAACAGCAATGACACTCAAGAGAAGCTCAGATTGAACTTCCACTCATTGAGTATGAGTGATCTTTTCGAATACGGGCGCAGCACTCAGTGAGAGTGACACAACACTCAGTCAGAATAAGGCAGCACTCAGTGACACTCAGTGAGAGTGATACAACACTCAGGCCCGTATTCTAAAAGCTCACTCGCAATCACACTCAATGAGTGGAGGTTCAATTTGAGCTTCTCTTGAGCGCCAATGCTATTTTTGAATAACTGGAGGGCGAGTAGTCACCGAGTAAGTTATGACAATAGCCCTCCAGCTATTCAAAAACAGCAGTAACACTCAAGAGAAGCTCAGATTGAACCTCCACTCATTGAGTGTGAGTGAGCTTTTAGAATACCGGCGTCAGTCAGAATAAGGCAGCACTCAGTGAGAGTAACACAACACTTAGTCAGAATAAGGCAACACTCAGTGAGAGTAACACAACACTCAGTCAGAATAAGGCAACACTCAGTGAGAGTAACACAACACTTAGTCAGAATAAGGCAACACTCAGTGAGAGTAACACAACACTTAGTCAGAATAAGGCAACACTCAGTGAGAGTAACACAACACTCAGTCAGAATAAGGCAGCACTCAGTGAGAGTAACACAACACTTAGTCAGAATAAGGCAACACTCAGTGAGAGTAACACAACACTCAGTCAGAATAAGGCAGCACTCAGTGAGAGTAACACAACACTCAGTCAGAATAAGGCAGCACTCAGTGAGAGTAACACAACACTTAGTCAGAATAAGGCAACACTCAGTGAGAGTAACACAACACTCAGTCAGAATAAGGCAACACTCAGTGAGAGTAACACAACACTTAGTCAGAATAAGGCAACACTCAGTGAGAGTAACACAACACTCAGTCAGAATAAGGCAACACTCAGTGAGAGTAACACAACACTTAGTCAGAATAAGGCAGCACTCAGTGAGAGTAACACAACACTTAGTCAGAATAAGGCAACACTCAGTGAGAGTAACACAACACTAGTAGAGTGGGGTACACTCGTTCAGAATAAAGCAACTCTTACGCCCGTATTCTAAAAGCTCACTCACACTCATTGAGTGGGGGTTCAATCTGAGCTTCCCTTGAGTGTCAATGCTGTTTTTAAATAGCGGGAGGGTGAGTAGTCACATAGTAAGGTACGGCACTAACCTTTCAGCTATTCAAACACAGCACTTACACTTAAGAGAAGCTCAGATTGAACCTACACTCATTGAGTGTGAGTGAGCTTTTAGAATATGGGCGTAACCCTCCAGCTATTCAAAAACAGCAATGACACACGATAGAAGCTCGGATTGAACTTCAACTCATTGAGTGTGAGTGCGCTTTTAGAATACAGGCGTCAGCCAGACAGAGGAAACTCTTACGCCAGCATTCTAAATTAAGCTCACTACCGCTCACACTCAATGAGTGGAAGTTCAAACTGAGCTTTCCTTGAGCACCAATGTTGTTTTAGAATAGCTGGAGGGTGAGTAGTCGCATAGTAAGCTATGACACTAACCTTTCAGCTACTCAAAAACAGCATTGACATTCGAGGGAAGCTGCGATCGGAGTTCCACTCTTTGAGTGTGAGTGAGCTTTTAGGATACAGACGTTAGTCACAGTAAGGCAACACTCAATCAGAGTGTGGCAACACTCGGACAGAGTGAGGCAAGACTCAGTGCGTGTTAAGCAATGCTCCGTCCGAGCTAGTGAGACAACACTCAGTCAAGGTTACGCTGGTCGAGGAAGCAGGTGCACTTATTTTTAGCCTGCGCGTGCTATATTGGCCGCAAGATATTAACATGATATTAATTCTCTTCGTGCGATTTAATACGGTTGGCTCTACCAAAGTCAGGTGGCAACCACAGTGTGCTTAAGTGGTGACGCAACGGGTTTTATGTTTTCTTTGAGGAAGGGGTCAATTTTCAGCTAAGTAATTAGATACCGTAGTTTTCGGCTACAGTAAGTGCAAAAACGACAGGTAAATTGACATTCGAGGAAAGCTGCGATCGGAGTTCCACTCTTTGAGTGTGAGTGAGCTTTTAGAATACAGACGTTAGTCACAGTAAGGCAACACTCAATCAGAGTATGACAACAATCGGACAGAATGAGGCAAGACTCAGTGCGTGTTAAGGAATGCTCCGTCCGAGCTAGTGAGACAACACTCAGTCAAGGTTACGCTGGTCGAGGAAGCAGGTGCACTTATTTTTAGCCTGCGCGTGCTATATTTGGCCGCAAGATATTAACATGATATTAATTCACTTCATGCGATTTAATACGATTGGCTCTACCAAAGTCAGGTGGCAACCACAGTGTGCTTAAGTGGTGACGCAACGGGTTTTATGTTTCCTTTGAGGGAGGGGTCAATTTTCAGCTAAGTAATTAGGTACCGCAGTTTTCGACTACAGTAAGTGCAAAAACGACAGGTAAATTTGCATGGTCGAACTTTAACCAAGACATATACGACTTAATCAATTTTAGGGCAGCTGGTTCCTCTGTGAAAACTACAATGGGTACTTAATTCCCCAGTTTAAATTCACTTAAATACCTGTTAATTAGGCAACGATCAAGAATTTTCATATTACTTTGAGGGGGGCGGGGCTTAGTCTCTCTGCTTTAACTTCTGGGGCATGAGCCCCTCTAACCTCCATATTCCGCTGCCCCTGGTATGCATTAGCAAATACAGCCAAACAATGATTAAATGACATTTCTGAATGTTCAGACAACAACATTTCTAAAATAAATATCAGAGAATTTAAGCATCATCAACCAGGTTCCAATCTCACTTAACCAACCAACCAACCAATAAAATTCAGTGCTGCCTCGTATTATACATAAATCATTCCTTAGTCGCTCGAAGTTTGCATAATTTCGTCTTTTTCATTCTCTCATATCCGTAGAGCATGGCTATTCATCACCCATATATCCATCACTTGGACGCTGAGGAGTATCGGTTCCTTTCAGTTTAGTTAAGCCCCCATAACATTTTAATAGGGGAGAAATAATCTATAATAATTATATAAGAAATTTTGCAGTTTATTAAGATTTGTCATTATTGTTTCAATTTATTTCTATGAAATTTTCCAAGATCGATCTAGTGTTGCTAGTTTTCCTAAAATCAAGGATGACATTTGTGACTAGTAAAATTGTATTATTGATTGTATTGCCCTGTAGACATTATATTTTCTTGATAAAAAATTTTTATAACATCGCCTAAAACGCTGGAAATCGTGTTATAATTCCTTTGAAAAAAATATATTCAACCGGTTCATGCCCCAAGCTCTCCTAGGTCTAGGATTAGCTAGCCCTCTCGCTAAAAGTTTATGTCATTCAGCTGTCTGCGGATGACCGATTGCGTGTACAAGATGTATCGTTTGTATGCAAATAAATCACAGCATGCACTAGAAGATTATTAATTCCTTGATGTTATCATTCCTTACCTTTACTTTTGCCCCAGCAATTTATTTTGAGGAGCTGCCTATGTGTATATTGAATCACATGACAGTTTGATGGTGTTTTAATGAAAGTACGTCACATCCATAGACGTTTTGCATGCAACAAATGTCTTTTTCTTAATCAACTTATTCTAACCCAAACCCATCAACTTCTCTTAAGATGACTGACAAAAAAGGCAAGGGAAAACCACGTGTTTCGATATTGCAGAGAGTTCACTGACGATTTTCACATACATTTACGAGTGCTTAAAGGGGCACTCCTCTCCCAAAACAAGTGTCGCTCATATAACAGCTTTTCAGAGGGCCGGAATGAATAATGTTATTGTCATTATATCGCATTCCCTGGATCTAAGCCCCATCACTAAAGGATGCCATCTGCCTATATGTTGTACATCATTAAATGTCTGAATAAATGAGATATTGTATGAAATGATAACATTTGCATACAATTGGTAAAAATCAACAACGGGCTACTGTGTGATAGTTAATTACTACCTTGAACTTTAATAAAAACAGACCAGGCATTAAAGCTTAAAGTCAAACATCCTGAATTTAGCATGAGGATATATACAATATGTCAGCATATGAAGGAGAAGACATACAGGTATTATCTTAATGGATTGATATCTGTCAAAAATAAAATGTATATTTAAAGCAGCGATGGAAATTAAACATGTCCTTGAATACGCCTGCAGATATTATTAATCAACACAAGACAACTGGTGTACATAATACTATTGACTTCGATCCCATATTTAACAATATAATAATACCACTGGCAACGCCTTTCGATGGTACTGTTCCATATAATGTTATGTTATAATCGATACAAACCCTAGAGTAATTAGGGTTTCCGTGCTCAAATAGCACTGAAACCCTAAAAAAGTTGGGGGGTTTTCATTAAAAGCTGTTTAATTGGACGAAAGTGTGTGAAAGGCTCCCTCTCTCTCGTTGCCTGATTAAAAATTCCGCTGCTAAACTTTCTTGCAAGGACTGTTATTAACTGTTTTTACTTCACGCATGCATAGTACAATCACAAACAATGTTACATGTTTAGATTTATGGCTACAAATACATATCAGTGAATCACATGTTTAAACCACAACTATAATTACCAGTGAAACAAAAATATGTTCCTGGAAAAAATTTGCTGTTGCGGGAATCATGAGGAGTTGAAACTTGAATTTTCCCGAAATGATGAATACCGGAATCATGCTGTTTCAAGTAAGGACAACAAAACCTTCTTCATGTTTACTGTCTTCTGAAAACTATATATATATATATATATATATATATATATATATATATATATATATATATATATATATATATATATATATATATATATATATATATATATAATGATGCTGTTGCAGTAACAGGTTAATATCACTGAGGAAAAATGGTTATTATGTGATGATGTTATATCATAGAGAAAAGAATAGAGGTTAATTTTTCGTTTGATACCCCCTCCAACCCCCAACCCCAGTTTAATAACAAAATTATTCGACCCCTTAGAACAGAATTTGGTTACATACCAAATAGCCTCCGCCCCATAACACTTACTGTATGACCGTTCCCTTAGCATCTTTTTTTTTAAATAAACCAGCCTTGACGCCCACATGAATGAAAAGAATACAGAGCACTGAACATTATTCGTTTACCTAGTAATATTTGGGAACAGAACAAATAATGTTCATGCAGTGGCACTGAATAGCAAAAACTGTGTATGATTGCAAAATATGCTAAGATTATTTTATTCTGAGTTCTTTAAATGTTTAGGTTGTATATGTCGGTTTACTGGCTTCCTTATACGCATGCATGTTTCACATATCTAGAACATCTAGCATTCTGGGAAACAGGTGTATAGAATGACAATGCACAAAACAACGAATATGGACAAATACAAGCGCCACATAGATTATACAGAACGAATATTCGCTTAGGCCTAATAATCACGTTAGGATTAGAATAACCAGCGTCATGAATCCTTTCCATCCCAAAATCTCTAAGATAACAATAATTTTGTGAATAAGCGGAGTGCAGTTCCTTGCCTTTGGTCTGTTGTGCGTTTCGTCTGATAGCTATATCAACTGGCACTGTTGTCCACACTCTCTAGTCATAGGCCTACATTTATACATTAGCCAGCTGCAAAATTAAACTATTGTAGCTTAATTCTTCTGGGCAATACTTACTTACTAAGTATAAAACAAAGAAATTGATCAAGTCATACCATTTTACTTAAAGATCCACATAAGCGTGTGTTATATATTTGACCTCTTGAACGTTGCATCTCGTAAACCAAACATAAGATTGCCAACACATCAATGATATTCTTATAAGTTGTGGGAGACATTATCTACGAGTCTGGCCAAGGGCTACTGAATCTGTAGCAAAATATCAGTTAATGTCGTTGATTAGAAATCGAAGTAGCGAACCATCTGTCCTTATTGTGATGATGAAAGTTACATCTTATCTCTTTCAGCAGCGACATAGACAGAACAACACTACATATTAATACGAAACGCTTACTATAATGTTTGCACAAGTATCATATTTCACGAGATAAAACATGAAAAAACGCATCATGTCAGGTCATGTTTACATTGGTATTTCGACAATTTCCCCTATGTTCATGCAAAGATTCGTGTTTCTTGTTCTATACGGACCCAATATTGCAATAATAATTTATATGCATTGACATTTTCCCCATTTAATTAATTTTAATTTTTTGATAAAGTTCCGAAATCAAAAGATACTATTAAATGATAATCAAATAAGCGAGTTCGGAGTTGAATTTAAAAACGTGCAAATAAGCATTCATGATTTATATAAATTATGCACGAAATATTCACGATGGATAAAGTTTCTGAATCCCATGACTAATATATTGTTTCAAACCAGAGAAATGTTGAATATGCCGAAAAGTGCGCCTAATTATATTATTGTGTTTTCTTTTATACGGAAGTTGAACTAGGAAGTCTGAACTGAAAATTGCTGGGACGCTGGGACTATACTGAATTACTCAAATGACAGCTCTATCAAGTGCTTTGACGGCTGCTGGATCGTTGAATACTTTGAACCGCAATCAAATTTAAACCACCAGTCCTAAATGTATTATGATCAAGCTTCGTCTCGATTCAGCGCGTACACCCCATTAGGATGCGCAATCGAAACAGCAACTGCCTTACGGCAATAAACGAAACAAAAGTCAATTATTTAATGTTGTTAGTCTTAAACAGGACTTCACGTCTTCACTCGCACTGTACAAAATGAGGTAGATTCTACAGCAGCCGAGTACCAGGTCTAAAATTTACTTCAAAATAGTTTAAGCCCCCACTTCCTAAGCTACTAAAAATACATAGTAGATTATAGTACGCAGTGGCCAGTAGCTAGCCGCATCCATATTTGTATAGTAACGTGTTAGAAATCATGTACTGTTTTATTATTTAATTAAGGTGTGTACTCGCTAATGGTGTATAGGCTTTTATCGTCCATAGCCATAATTCGAGTGAATAAGCAATGTCTTTTCCAGTGCTATGGCCAGAATGGCCTACTTTGCTCAATTCCTGCAGCTCTAAAAATCTCGTCGGAACAATTTACTTAAAATATTCTACAGTTAATAATTTGTTATGTAAAAACCTTTGATTACTATGATCACTCAAATATAGGAATGTAAATAGTCAGAGCTACAAGTTTGTTCCATATTTTTACTGCTGTATAATGGAAACTTATAAGGCTTAATTTACAGCTTTCTTTGATTTCTCGTTCCTCTTATTCCGTCTTCCGTTTCGGTTATTAGTCGTCGTGCCTTGAGTGCATTGTCACCTTGTAGCTCACCTTGAATCACCATGTAACTTGAGACGATTATCATGCAAGTTTATCTTCCTTATTCCGTCTTTTTAGCTTTTCTTTTGTTTCCTCTGTAGCGTTCTCTTCCTCCTCAGTGGCGAGCATAGTCTAGCTAGATTCTATTTATCCATTTTTATCAGACAATAATGATCAACACGAAAAAAGAAACAAGGGTGGGGATAAATTTCAAGGAGATCGTGTGAATCATCCAGCTCATTAATTAAGCTTGTACAGAACACTAATTCATGACCATCTATATAGAAACGTTACACTGAGCTAATTTTCAACATTTTGTTGTGTCTTTTATGAAAATCGGTGAAAAATACTTTGTATGGAATCAAGAATTGCACAATGAAGCTGTCGGAATAGTTGGAATATGACACATACCGTATAGTCAAGTAGCCTACGTTGACAAACATCCGTATGTCAGTTGTAGAATAAGCTGAAACGAAAAGTCCGCCCCCTTGTCCGTAATTTTCTTAATTGCACTCAACCATCTTGTTCTCTGTTTTTCTTCGCACCTTACTCCTCTTCCTAATGGCACGATACACCGTTCCACGCAAACGAAATTTCTCAATCATCCGGCTGAAACACAGTCACAGAATTTGTCCCGACAGTAGAAGCGTCTTTGAGGAAGTCTAGAAATCGAGTAATGCATCATGTTTATGACTATCCTAACTGTGGGTTCACTCAGTGTGAATACTAACTCCGGCAGAATACTAACTCAATGTGAATACTAACTCCGGCATTGACGTGAGCCCCCTAGATGAGCTTAAATAGCTCTTGGGGCAAACGAATAAATATGTTTAAATAAAAAAAATTTAAAAAACTCCGGCAGAAGCGAGATTGCAAGATTATATTTGCTTGTCAGATATGAGTAGCAATCGGCTGTTTTTTAAGCCTAAACATGATCATTTGTGTAAATATAGAAATCTGTGGTCGTTGTTCAAAGCTGGATTAGCCTGACCCTGGGTTAAACACGGATTTGGGAACATCTAACTACAAATCAGTTTATTTCAAAACATGGAAAGTAAAACTAGTTCCAGTGATCCAGACTAGATTGCTGGAAAAATCTCCATGGTTTTAAATAAGCTGTTGGGATTGCTTTGAATCATGGCCCAAGTGGATTAATATATGCCGGTTAAAGGAATCAAAAATGGAAATGTTTTATACATGCGTCAACTAAAGTGACATTATTTCATCACTGCAATACATGTAATTAACTGTTTACATGGACTATGGTAATGACGTTATCACATGCTAAATATTGTGGATCCAACTGGAATGGGTGTCACATTAATTAATAACGCACAAAATTAATTAACTGAAAAAAGGAAGAATATACAAAAATTAAAAGCCTTTCATGCTTTGAAAATCCATGACATTTTTCAATACCGCGGACATTGTTTCCAGATCTATCTCCGAAAAGAAATGTGAGATTGGTCCCAGTTTTCATTGAGACTGTAGCAAACGTGAGTCTCCATTTTCTGCTACAAGAATTGTTTAATCCAAGATCGTCTCCCTACTCCCCCCCCCCTCCCTCGCAATGTGTTGAAAGTTCGCCCCTGTTGGTGACCTACGTGTTTTTTTTTTCAACAATATTCCTTGCATATGGATTTCTCGAAAAGAAATTTTTATCCATGCACCCAAATTGGCAAAATATGTCACTCGAATCCATGGTGATTAGAGTAAATTATATTAGTCCAATGCTTTACCAAACCATGCGGATCGTGAGGCAAAAATCAATTATTCAAATATGATTCGAAAGCAAGAATAATTTTACTGCTTTTTGCACTCAGTCCAGTCCATTCTTTGTGCACTGCAAATGATATTTCAAACTGGATTCGAACCAGTGACATAGGGATTATTTCTGTCAACAACTACAGCCCTCCGTTCTACCAACTATCGAAGGCGAATGAAAAACCAGTGAAAATGTCCATTATTCTCTTGAAATTCTCGATATATTTTACTCTCTGCATGATCCCTTTCATGCATGTCGTTATAACCTGCAACAACGGAACATCGTTTTCAAATGTTTTCTGTTATTCAACTGCTTTCTGTTATACAAAATTATTTTACTGCTCTTCGAATTGACTAGCCTCAAATAGAATTCACAAACGAATTTTCTGTCCTGGACAAACGTAACTTGTCTGCTTCATAACAGTGAGTCATCCTTCGAACCGGATTCGTACCAGTGACCTACTGTATCTATATTTATAGGCCTACTTAATGAACCTTTTGCTATATAATATTTTTCTCAGCGGTTTTCGGTAACAGAGTATTTCATGTAAAAATAATATACGGGATCTTGAGAACTATAGTTATTTTTGTCAGGAAAGGACGATTAATTGATGAATATATACATTGGAAGAAGATTATAAATAATCATAAATAAATTTCAGACAATGTTTCCCATGGCTGACAATCATGAGTATATATTTTTTCTCCAAAACAGAATATTTCCTTTAAGTTCAACAATTGTATAACAGACAATGCATTGTTTTGACCTACTTACATACAATTTTGGAAAATCTCCTACTTTTAGCTGAATTATTACGTAAGAGTGACATACTCACTAGATTTTAAACCCAATTTAAACTTATGTTAACTACAACTACAGTCCCCCGCTCTGCAAACTGAGTTATCGAAGGAGAACGATAAATGCACAAAAATACCAATCATTGACTCGATATAGTGCATATTTATTAGATGCACGTGATCCCGTCCATGCACGCATTATAACCTACAACAACGGAACAGCAGATTTTTTAGTCTCGCCATGTCAAAATCAGATCAATACCACTTTGAGGAGATAGGAATTCGGCGAGATATGGGCAAAATCGCCAAAAATTGAGCGGATCTAGCCAGGCCAAATTTCATTAACCAAAATAAGGTGCGTATTCGTTTTGAAAGTACTATTCTATACTATGAAAATAATTGTACTGATTTTACACGCTTAGTCCAGGTTGGAGAGTACTGTATCCTCTAATTTGAGAAAAGGAACACAATTTTCTATGCGCGAACTTAAGGAGGCTCCCTACAGTTGCGTGCGGGATGTTCGCGGGACCAGCACGTGAACTATCCCACGCAACCGCATGATCAAAACAAAACAAAAATTGACCACGCTTTTTTTTTAAATAAAGCTATTTCTGAAAGGTTTCTAATGGAAAAAAGGGTTGAATAATACTTTGTTTTGAGTGCCAAATCACTTGCGAGTCTATACAGCAATTCTACATATGATACGAATATCTCTAGACCAAAAAATAGCTACGAAACAATGTTTTTTAATTCTTTAAATATACACTGTCAACTGTAAAACATTTGCAAAATTGCATACAAACGTTTAAAAAGTTATTTACTTCTCAAGAAAACGTTCACGTTTTTAGTCGTGTTTCTACAAGATTAAAGTGATTATATGTAAACAGAAAAATATTTCAGTTTCATAGCCTAATTGTTCATTTTTAGCAAAAAGTACAAAACCAAACATGAAACAAAAAAACACGTCCATCTGTTAATAGGCTGTTACAGCTCGTAGATTGAGTAATCGGCAGGGTTTAATTAGCTTCAACCTTGTTTTCATCGATTTGATCCTTCACATTAATCCTTGGCTGTCCATGGCACTCAAATAAATCGAAAAGTTGACAAAAACAAAACAGTAAAAACAACATTTCCGGTCGATTTTGCTGAATGAAAACTCGTTCTGCGCCCGCGTACAATCTTTTACTAATCAGCGCCGCTTTTCAATGAGGGGAATTTCTCGAGTTACACGAGGCTATTTTCTAACTTTATTTGCATTTTACTCATTAGTTTCATCGGTGACCTATCTTCAAATTTTGACCACGAATTTATTTTGCGGTAAATTATATAAATTTCAATTTTTAAAAAAATCTGTAGTGTGGAAATTTCGCAATAAAATTTTCGCTTTTAAAAAAATCACACACTACAGAATGTTTTTAAACTTTCACCACAGTTGCAGAGCATCATTCCCTATTGATATATGAAATAAAAAAGATAGGTCACCGACATCGTTTTTGAGATAGCGGCACATTTATGGGTTAAATTGGAAGGTTTTGTGCTGTCATCATGTTGCCATGGTAACATTGACATCGTCGAAATCTAGTTCGAAATATTGCTTAGGTGACCAATATTGTCACCAAGTCGAAACGAATTCGCGTTCTGCACAAATAAGCCTGTTTTACGGAATTATTGGGTAAACAAGAATAACTGTAGGGAGCCACCTTAAATTGTGCGTCTCATAATACGAATGGTGCATCGAACCCGATTCGCACCAGACACCTAGGGATAATTACTATCAACAACTACAGTTCCCCGCTCTGCCACTGCCAACTGAGCTATCGACGAAGGAGAACATTTAATACATGAACATACCCTTCATTGACTTGAAATTTTGCATATTTAATAAATGCTTATGGACCCGTCCATGCACGGTGCTTTAAAATGTAACAATGGAACGGCAGTTTTTTGAGATTCCTCATGTCAAACTCAGTACCATTTTGAGAAGATAAGCATTCGACGAGAAGTGAGCAAAACCGACAGTATTGCTCGGATCTAGCTAGGCCAAGTATCATTAACTAAAATAAGGTGCGTATTCCTTTTGAAAGTACGATTCTATATTATGAGACTGAATTTTACTGATTTTACACGCTTAGTCCAGTCGGAAACGCAATTTTGCATGCTAGTAAATAAATTGTGCATCTCAAAAAGCGAATGGTCCTTCGAACCGGATTCGAACCAGTGACCTAGGGATAATTGCTGTCAATAACTACAATCCCCCGCTCTGCCAACTGAGCTATCGAACGAGAACGATTAATCCACAAATATGCCCATCATTGAATCGACACAGTGCATATTTATTAGATGCTCGTGATCACCAACAACGGAACGACAGATTTTTTAGCTTCGCCATGTCAAAATCAAATCAATACCAATTTGAGGGATAGGCATTCGGCGAGAAATGGGCAAAATCCCCCAAAACTGAGCAGATCTAGCCAGGCCAAATACCATTAACCAAAATAAGATTCGTATTCGTTTTGAAAGTACTATTTTATACTATAAAAATAATTATACTGAATTTACAGGCTTTGTCCAGGTTGGGGAATACTGTATCCTCCAATTTGACGAAAGGAACACAATTTTCTATGCGCGAACTTACATTGTGCATCCCAAAATACGAATGGTCCTTCGAACCGGATTCGCACATGTGACCTAGGAATGATTGCTATCAACAACGACAGTCCCTCCATCTGCCAACTTAGCTATCGACGAAGGAGAATGATTATTACACGAACATACCCAATCATTGACTTGAAATTTTGCTTATTTATTAAATGCTTGGTGTATTTTCGGAGGTGTATTTTCGAGCTCCGCAGTTTTTATATATTTAAGTGAGCCTGACGCTGGTATTTCACTATGGATCATAATAACTATAAGCACTTCAGTATAGACGACTCTAAACTTAAGTGGAACGGTGACCTTGAACCGCTTAAGTGTTTTATCGCGAACGAATTAAACCTATCTGGAAAATGGTCTTCCCCTGGCGGCGAGGTGAAGCTGTTTACGAACGAGAATGAAGTTTCCAGTGAGGGTGAAATTGTCAAAATTAAATGGTACCAGAGTAAGAAAACCTTGTTGTTTGAAGGATCTAGAGCTAAGCAGATGGAACAGGATATCTACAGTATAAAACAATCAAACTCAAGCTTCAAGGAGGGAGAAACGTGCAACAGGTTTGATATTTCAAATTCAAATTTGCATAATAACGATAAATTTGTTGAAGCGATTAATGACTTCAAGCTTCAAATTCAACAGCTTAAGGGTGTTATGGAACAAAACAAAACTGCCATAGCTAACCTTGAAACCGTATGTCAATCCTCATCGAATGATACTGCATATATTGAACTACACACACTTAGAAAAGAATACGAACTTATTTGCTCTGAAAATGCAATTCTTAAGAAAGAAAACGCCGAATACCTTGAACGCATGAACAACTTAGTCTATATTACCTCTGATTTAAATACAAAAATTAAAATACTTGAAGAGGAGAAGGCTAGCTTAGTAACCTCAGTGCGTCTCGTAAACGAGGACAAACGGCAATTAATAATTGAAGCTAAGCGCTTAGGAAATGTTTACGAACCGGAACCGTCCTCTGAAGTCTCAAACCAAACAACGCATTGCGAAAGCACACAAAATGAAAACCCCATGCACAATGAGCAACATGATAAAATAATTGAAGTGATCGAATTGGATAAAACATTCCAAGAACCGAATGGCCCGAATACAAGAAATGAAAATATGAACCCCGTTGTAGGAGTGGCTGTGTCTGGCCATCCCGACAGAACTAGTACAGATAAACAGCCTAATTCCGAATGTGCGTCTCAAAATCCTAAGAGTGTTGTCCCATGTCCATTCCTTCTCCGCCGTGGCCATTGCACTAAAAGAGTCAATTGTGACTTCTCCCATTCGAATCTGGAATCTAATAACAAAGAACATCAGATCTTTTCTAAACCCAAGCACCTGACCTCATGCCCCTTCCTAGAAAGAAAGGGAAGCTGTTTAAAAGGCGAAAAGTGCGACTTTTTTCACAAAACCACCCATTTTCAACAACGGCACTATCCCAATTATTACGAAAATCCGGCTTTTTTAGAACCGCTGGAAAGCATCAAGTCAATATTGAGACAGGTGGAAGTGGGTCTGCAGAAATTCAATATAACTCATGGAACCGGTTTCCAACAAATCCCCACTCCGATGGGTCTGAATCGATGCCCACCGACGGCGATGCCGCAAAATCGACAGCTCCTACGGCCACTAATGAGCATACCCTACCCCTATTTTTAAATGATTACACTGGCAATTTGAATTATAAATCCCAACCAATTAATGTACGTCTAACTC